ATTCCGTGGCCCTTCTGCAAGGAGCAGAAAGCCCACGCAGAAAAAACATATAGAAAACCCACACAGAAAACTAAACTAGCAAAGACAGAGGAGGCTGTTAAGGCAGAGCTCCAAACAAACACCACTTTAAACATCAAAGAAAAAAGCTAGGAATCAAGCCTAATAAGCCATAGAAAATGTTGCAAGGGAAAGGCGCTCCCTTTTCCTTGCAGATCCGGGTTCCAGAAGCCACAACTCCTGCGACCGCATCATTACTCAGTTCTCGATCGGGTCAGTTGCACAAAGGCTCATTAAATATTTACAAGTGACATTTTTCTGACTTGTGACAACCAGGATCAAGATAACCATCCGTTTTCTACAGCCATTCTGTTCAAATAACTTTGAAAAGTCAACCAGCAAGAAAAGAACAAATAGCAACAGAGCCCACAGCGTAACAATTGCAAGGTTTCTGACCGGCTACAAACAAAAAAAATCCTACCCCTTGAAAGCCATAGAAAATGGCCATAGTTAGATGTTTCTTCAACAAAATTAGCACCTCTTAAATAGTACAGGGCACAAACTTCAGGACTAAGAACACAAAGAATGACCAAGCAATCAATTTCCAACCACAGTAGCTGCTGGAGATTGTTCTCAAATGGCAAAGTGGGGTAATGAGCCGATTGTTTATCTGGGACATAAAGCAACAAGCAAAAGAAAGAAACCTCCTGCACACTAACACACGTTTCCTACAAGAGGACGTCTCCATAGAAACCCTGTGAAAGTTTATTTCTTTGCGTGTTGTGTGTCCTTAGTACCTGGTAATGCACAAAAAAAGCCAATTTCTTGTGTAAATGGGATCTAAACTGCACTTCTGTGTGGAGAAGCTCATCATCACCGAGATAAAACAGCCACCAAGGCTTAGTTTGTACGTACAGACACGTTCAACTACTCAGCAAAAAGGTTTCCACCACAGAAATTTCAGAGTTAAAAATAGAAGGTGTGCTTGAGAATAGTGAAGTTTTCTTCCCACAATCCTGGCATTATGTTCCTTTTCTGACATGAATACTCGTGGAAGAAGTGGGATCGGCGGTACTGGAGAGAGCCTACTACTGAAACCACGTAGCTGGCACGCTGACAGAAACACAAGTTCCCTTTACCAGAATATTCCTGCCTCCTGTACCCAGGGACTTCTCAAAGCACGAATTCAGTCTTTCTTGCCTTTGCAATTCATGGTCTTTTACCTCCCACTGGCATTTCTAGTCTTCACAGCAGAGCTGGGACAAGGCTCAAACACCTACCCCGTTCATGCAGGCCACTGAGCAGTCAGCAGGAGACAAGTCTTTTGGCTACGTTAGAACCCAAGCCAGGTACCTGCTGGTAAAAAGCTCTGGTAATTCTATACCAGTCCAAGTCCTCAGTCATTCTTAATTCATCCTGCTACTCTGTCCACAGAAATTATGAGTCATGAAAGAGAAACAAGAGAAGATGCTTCAGCCAAAGAAATCACATCCCACCACTGAAATATCCCTCTCATTACCCTCTGCATTATGTGGGGTTGGGTTCCCAAATACAGGTCACACTTTGATTAATGTTGAAAATGTTCTTCACCGTGTGACACGGGCACAATGCCTGTGGTGTCTTCCTCCAACCAGGGTACTACAGCTACAGAAGAGGGTTTCCTACACCTTCCACCACACAGAAATAACCGAGTGGCGCTGAGCTGCGCTGCAGACCACAACAGCTCCCTCTCAGGGCTGTTAAGAAATGCTCCAAATACTTGCTTAAAATGCACGGTCATTTTAAAAAGAAATCATCTCTATTTTTTTATCTCTCCCAATCTGTCTCCATAAATACATAAAGTAAATTCCTTGTTAAGGTCAAACACTCCTAAATGTCCCGGTTGATGCAAGCAATCAGGGTTTGCCTAATCCAGTTTACACAAGAGGTTAACACGGACAAGCAAAAGCTGAATGCCATTTACTAAGGGACAGTGTGGAAAAAACCTCATTGCCTAGTTATAAACAAGGTATCACTGTATTTAGCTCAGCAGATACCCCTTCCATTCTTTAATGTTTCCTCACAGAGCAAGGAACCCCAACCCAACCTCATTGCCTATAAACAAGGTATCACTGTATCTAACTCAGCAGATACCACTTCCATTCTTTAACGTTTCCTCACAGAGCAAGGAACCCCAACCCAGGTGCTATGGGAACACCAGTTTTCTCATAACAACACTTGATTTTCTCCTAACAGGAATTACTTAGTTATAGATTAACTTTGCCCCATAGCAGCAGAGCAGACCTGAGAGGTGAATGCACAACACACCTCTGCCAGTGGTTATTTTGGCTGTAACTACGTCCATTCCTAATGCAGAATCATTTGTGAAAATCTACCCTGATGCAAAATTGCGATGAGCACTCCAGATACTGCAGGGCTTTTCAAAGAGCACGTTCTCAAAGTAGATACGTGTTGTCTTTGTAGCTGGTCAATCTTTAAAAGCTACCAGCGACTTTAAATAGAACAACCGGAAAAGCAAGAAAAAATTGAAAGTTCTTGAGCAAATATTTTCTTTGCTGGCACCTCATCCTGTACCTTGCGCTAGCTCAGCTCCGCTCTGTGCCCAGCCAGGGGCAGAGATTGTCACGAGCCATTCAGCAGCCACTGAGAGGACGTGTGCTGAAGGAAACCATCGCTGCCACCTCTACTCTGAGTTCGGAGCCCACAGCCAGCTCCTAAGCTCCAAAGCAGACACCGTCACAAGCTGCACTGAGCTCCACCACCACCATCACCACCACCACAGAGTGCAGAAGAGGAGGTAACCACTGAGCGAACAGAGGCTTAGCACGTTGACTCGAGGCCTCCTAGATATGCAGAAAGCTTAAGACAAATCACAGAATCACAGAATCTTCTAGGTTGGAAGGGACCTTAAAGATCATCTTGTCCAACCATCAACCTAACTTGACAAAAATAGACACCCACACAACAAACAAGGAGCATCATCACTAAACCATACCTCCCCCAGCACTTCATCAACCCGTCTTTTGAACACCTCCAGGGATGGTGCCTCAACCACCTCCCTGGGCAGCCCATTCCAATGTCTGATAACCCTTTCAGTGAAAAAATTTTTCCTAATATCCAGCCTGAACCTCCCCTGGCGCAACTTGAGGCCATTTCCTCTCGTCCTGTCGCCTGTGACTTGAGAAAAGAGATCGACCCCCATCTCTCTACACCCTCCTTTCAGGTAGTTGTAGAGAGCAGTAAGGTCCCCTCAGCCTCCTCTTCTCCAGGCTGAATAACCCCAGCTCCCTCAGCCTCTCCTCGTAAGACTTATTCTCCAGACCCCTCACCATCTTTGTTGCCCTTCTCTGGACCCGCTCCAGCACCTCAATGTCTTTTTTATGGTAGGGGGCCCAAAACTGGACACAGCACTCGAGGTGAGGCCTCACCAGTGCCGAGTACAGGGGGATGATCACCTCTCAAACAGCGTGGCAAGTAGGGCCCCTGATACAGGCCAGGATGCTGTTGGCTTTCTTGGCCACCTGGGCACAACTGCTGGCTCATGTTCAATCCCAGCTCCCAGCTAGCAGGAAACATTTGCACGGACCAAACACCAACTGTATCTGGATCACGACTATAGAAATGCACCGCCACAACTTCTCCCAGCAGTACAGCGGGCTCAGACTGAACAAGGAGGAGTTAGGGGAATTAAAAGTCAGACCTTCCTATTTAAAAAGATCCCACAATCTGCTGTGGATAACAACCCATTTAAGTAGCTGAGTATTTCCAGTGCATCTAACACTGCGGTGAGAGGGGCACTAGTTACTACTACTTAAAGCGCTAACTTCAACAAGAAATAAATGCTGAACTGAAAGAATTGAAGTTTTTGGTAGTACTGACAACACTTACAGAGAGAAGCATAAACAAGATCATAATTTTGTAGGGGGATGAGCTGCAAAAACTATAAATAAGCATGCTCTGTACTGGGCTCAGAAGCAGATGAAATAGAAAATCCCACCAGCTTTGAAGGTAGGAAATTGTCACCTCTATCATTTTTCTTTCCCTGTTCACATCACGCTGTAATACAGGGAGAATTTCACCATTTCTCCGTCTAATAAAACGTAACACCTCTAGCCATGCTATTTTTTCCTTACAATTCTGATAATTCTCAGTTCTTTCTGACAATAAAACAAAGTCAAAGCTAAACAAACGCCACTCCCACATTAACTGAGAATCCTGGATCAGGAATGTTTTCACAGGCTGCTGCAGGTCTCTGGGAAGGAAGAGCCAAGGCAGCCGTTCCTCCAGCTCCTCCCGATGGCAAAGGACAGGCACAGCACCCCGACAAGGTTTGGGATGAGAATGTTGTCATCATAAAGTCGTCATGTGTCAAATGCCACGCTAATGAAGACCTAAGCACATGACCAATCCAGGGTTTGGTGAAAGACAACACCCGATTTGATCAAATGCTACGATCAAGGGGCAAATCCAAATGTACAGAGGCCCTTCTCCTGGCCTGCAACAGAGAAACTTGAAGCTCAGCCCAAGCTGAGGCCGATGGCTCTGCTTTAAACTTATTGCCTAATTAACTTACTTAAGGAAAAATGGAGAATGACACCTATAGAACGGAGGAAGGATGTTAACAGTGAGAGATGATTACGCTTGATCAAATGCTACGATCAAGGGGCAAATCCAAATGTACAGAGGCCCTTCTCCTGGCCTGCAACAGAGAAACTTGAAGCTCAGCCCAAGCTGAGGCCGATGGCTCTGCTTTAAACTTATTGCCTAATTAACTTACTTAAGGAAAAATGGAGAATGACACCTATAGAACGGAGGAAGGATGTTAACAGTGAGAGATGATTACGCTGTCGGGCCCCGCAAGAACACAGGAAAACAAAACAAAATACAGACAGATACCCTACAGGTATCAAACATTTTATTTATTTTAAAGAAACTACAGCAATATACATGATTACAGAATTATGCTGTCAGGCCCCGCAAGAACACAGGAAAACAAAACAAAATACAGACAGATACCCTACAGGTATCAAACATTTTATTTATTTTAAAGAACCTACAGCAATATACATGATTACAGAATTATGAAGCACTGTAAAACAAAAGGAATGAAATGGCCTGGGATCCAAGTGCTAACAACTTCATGCCCTGTCCTTCGCACCACCGTCACTCAGAAAAATCACATTATCTGAAAAGAAAGAAAGAAAATTTAATCTTCAAAACATTTTTATGACAATTGCTAGCCTGCACACCCACAAAGACAAGCTAGTTGTATCAAAATAAGCTGCAAAGACATGTATTTTGGAACAGAATAGTTCATAAAATAAAACAGTGTCCGATACAGGGCTCTTGCTCAATCTCCCCAGAAAGCTGACAATTCCAGGTGACTGTATACACTACGAAACGACTGTGCTAAACCTGATGAAAAACTGCTCAACAGCCAAAGATACCAGAAACATTTTAAAATAACAGTTTAATTCTTTGACTGTTATCTCCATCAATTACAGCTTATTTCCTTTTTATTTTGCCATTTTCAGTACGCACATCAGCCTATGGGACTACAGGAAGCCTGTTATTTCATCAAGGCTCAGGAATTTCTAAAGCATCTTGAGACTGGGGATATTGAACATGAAGAAAAAAATGAGAGGATAAATACTAATTAAAGAAAGATACTTGCTTCTCCCCTCCAGCTATTTATAAACAGCAACCTACAGCACTGCTGGCTGAACCGCTCATGTGGATGTTTGATTTTTATTCTTTTAAAGAGGCTGCACAGCAGAAACATCCAGAATTGTGATTGGGTTTGGTGTTTGGTTTTTTTTTTCCTCCTCCTCTGCCCAGTTTTTTTAGATATACTTGTATAACAGAAATGTTTGCTCTACTACCCAATTATTTTAGCCATCCCCCAAAATCCACAAGATAGTGGCTCTCCCCACAGTGAAGACATGGGATGCTCACACTATTTAAAGGCTGGGGGAAAAAGCTGATTTTGCCAGTTCTCTTTTCCATTGTGTCTACTCAAGGGACAAGTCTACTTCCTCTCCATTCTGTGCCCTTTTTACCCCAACTGGCTACCAGGCTGAGGTCTCTCTAAATTCTCCATCGAGTTATCCCCTCATAAACCATCTTTCACAAACACAGGTCCTTAAAGTTGGTGAAGCCTCCAGTCTTAAACAGGAAGAAGAAATTTCCTGCCAAACTGAGACAAAACTACTAAAACTCTACTTGGCTTAGCAAAGAGATCTGCCTGACCTGCAGCACTACATACCAGTGTTCCCAAAACACAGTTAACTATCTGCTGCACCAACTGGTTTGTGTGAGCAAACCACGCAATGGTTTGCAACTACATGCTCTCATTTTCTGTGTCTTCATGAGCAGTGCCAGAGGACATCTAGTGGTACAGCCTATTCATTCTCTCAAAATCCCCAAGCGTGGATTCTGAGGATGAAGACAAACCAAGCTCTATTTCAAAGGTCCTCCACCCCCTCTCCATTTTAAAAGGGGAAGGTAGGCCTTGGTATGATGTTCCTTACCTGCTATAATTGTCGTGGCCTGCCGCCTCACGTTGTTTTTATCTGTATATTCACCGTAGTCCAGCTTCCCTTCAACATAGATTCGAGAACTGAAAAAAATGAACAATTTGGTTCTGGTCAGACAACTGTGCTGCTGTTTTCTCCTGACTCGACACAGGCTTTTGCCTCACTTGTTTGTAGCATGCCTACTAACTTATTTTATGGCACTTCTATCTTAATATAGCTCCTGGTCACCGTAATTATTATATCAATCAATTATTAAGGCATTAAATCCTCAACCACACTTGTTATTCACTTACCCCTTCTTCACATACTGATATGTGACATCCCTGAGGCCCGGTCTGAAGACAGAGATCCTGTGCCATGTTGTCTTCTGGCTGATATCACCTAAAATACATAAAAATAACAAAGTTGGATGCCAAATCCTCTTTTTGATGCAAGCCTCAGAAACTAGTTTCAACATGAGGGTGTTCACAAATGATGAAAAATACGTTGCTTGCTGCAGACTCACCTCCCTGGTTTAACTCACTGTCCCCTGTTCGCCACATCTCATTGGTTGCAAGAGAAAATATGGTAACGGGGTTTTTTCCCTCCACTTGCCTCATGATAGGGTCCTGTCCAACCCGACCAAGTAACTGAACACGATTCATGGCTGAAACGCAAGAGGGTGAACACATACACAGGTGAATCCATGATTACGATGCTTCTAAGCACGGCAAGTCGTAAGTTGGTATCTTTTTCAAGGGCCAGAACAATGATTTTCTGCACCTCCTGACCACTTTTCCAGCTCTTGTGACCCTTGGCTTATTCAGGCCCCGCAGATGGTTGACAGTGCCTGTACTATTGTTACCACCACATTCTGAATAAGCTCATTTAGAAAGCTAAAGCCTTTCTTTATTCTTCCTATTCCCTTGTCATCTTTTTCACAGACATCCCTATGTCACTTGAGACATTACACCCCACCCTCTGAATTAGAGGGTCACTATTCTTTTTTTTTTTTTTTAAATCCATGATTACGATGCTTCTAAGCACGGCAAGTCGTAAGTTGGTATCTTTTTCAAGGGCCAGAACAATGATTTTCTGCACCTCCTGACCACTTTTCCAGCTCTTGTGACCCTTGGCTTATTCAGGCCCCGCAGATGGTTGACAGTGCCTGTACTATTGTTACCACCACATTCTGAATAAGCTCATTTAGAAAGCTAAAGCCTTTCTTTATTCTTCCTATTCCCTTGTCATCTTTTTCACAGACATCCCTATGTCACTTGAGACATTACACCCCACCCTCTGAATTAGAGGGTCACTATTCTTTTTTTTTTTTTTTACACAGGTACCAGGACTAGGTGGACACAATTTATTCCTTTTCCTTACTGAAGGACAACTGGAGTTGGTCACGGAAACATTGCCTTTGCACAATGGGCACATGAATCACAGAATGATATGGGGTTGGAAGGGACCTCTGGAGAGCATCTGGTCCAACCCCCCTACCAGAGCAGGTCCACCCAGAGCAGGTTGCACAGGAACATGTCCAGGTGGGTTCTGAATGTCTCCAGAGATGAAGACTCCACCACCTCTCTGGGCAGCAGAACTGAATGGTAAAGCCCACAGCACGCACCTGGAGCCAATCGTGCTGGGGCAGCAGCAGCACCCAAACAAGTCCCCCAGGTGCATGGGAGTCTGAGAAACAAGCACGTGAACCACCTAAAGGCAGGTATTAGAAAAGATGACAACAGGGTATCCGATTCACTGCCATTGATAATGCACGACCACCTGCCTTTTACAGGTTGTACTCCATGCCAGGGCTTTTTTCTTTTCCCCTTAAGGGCTGCTTGACTTGAGAAAGACCAGGTAGGAAACTATATAAGAGCCTGTTTGTTTGAAACAACACATTCTTCGTTATTGCATTCAGGAGCTACCGTTCCCACCTGTTTCTCTCCTGGCATATTTCAGCCACGCTAAAACCGAGATAAAAATCACAAAGAGTAAGAGCTTAAGTTTCACCTCAGGAGCTACTTACATCTTTCGAGCACCAAGGAGGTGACCGTATCAGACTCATGTCTTACAAACTGGCGAAGCACCTGAAGGAACAGACAGATGTTAATTTCCAAGACACAAAATACGAACAGCGTTCATGTGCCCCTTGCACCTCGTTTTCCAAAAACTTACAGAGGTCTTGCAAGTATGTTCTTTTCCAGTGACTGACGAGGGGACTGGGGGAAGAAATCTGTTCAGCTAAAGGAAACCAACAGGTTATTCAAAGAATATTTGGTTAAAGGGGGGTTAAAAAGCTGCCAAGGAAAAAAGCACAGCCTGAAGGTACACCTCCAGCAATTATCTTTGGGACATGCAGTAATTACTGTTCTTCTGTAACACCTAACAGGAGGGGGGTGGGGTCTGAAGCAGAGGGGCTGTTTAGTTAGTTGGGCTTTGGCTTTTGGAAACAAACACAGTTTTGATGATTTCATCAACTTTCTGCTTCACTTCAGAGATTAACAAGATACGCCCAAAACGCACGTGTATCCAATGCACATGTATCCACTGCCATGAGAAGGATGATGCAATTGATGACCCCTCCTTCCCAAACAAACAGCACAGCAAGGCCACAACAACCTGAGCGCTGCAGCTAAATGCCAGCGAGGAAAAGAAAAAGGACTGACTTGATGCTGGCAAATAAATACCGTGTCCTGGAAGGAAGGAGGAGAAAAGCAAAACCCAGGAACACCTCAGCAAGAGGCCCACGCATGGGAACTGGAAGAAAAGCTCACTGCCTGTAACAAGGGGCTGCAAAACTTGAAAGGAGGCAGGACCGACACTCCTGGGTAGAACAGAGGGGCTAAACCCGAGGAAACGCAGCGTGGAAAGGGGAAGCTCTTTGGCAGGTCTGCGTGGGGCACTGATGTAGGCACGGACCACCCGAGATCCCTTCCACGCATGACCCGCGTCTTTTAATACACCACTTTTTCAGCCGCTCGGGTGCAGCACTCGGTTTCTTGCGGAGTTACAAGCGCAAACAGAACCTCCTCCTTTTCTTCACGGGCTCAGACTCCGCGCTGCGGTGAAGGCACCAGCCGGTAGAGGCCGGAGAAGCCGCCGGTGGGCAGCACGGCCCCAGGCCCTGCCACGGCCCGGCCCGGGCCGGCACCGGAGCGCTCCTCCGGCCCTCGCAAGGGAAGGCCGGGACCCTCGGGCGGTGAAAACCAGCATCCGTGAGGAGAAAGTTACGGCGAGCCCCCTCCCCACCCCACGGGGAGGTCGAGCGGGGGCCGCCCCCAGCGCCCCCGGCCTCCCTCGCACGGCCCCTACCTGCCACGCCGCTCGCCGCAACATCCCGCCGCCGCACCTGCGGAGGGAAAAGCAGGGCTGAAGCAGCGCCGGAGAGAGACCAGACCCGACCCGGCTGGGCTCGGCTCGTCCCACCACCAACAACCCGGCCCCACGGTCCCGCCGACCCCCCGCCCTCTGCACCTCTCCCGCCGCAGGAAGCGGAAAGGGAAGCGGCGGGTCCCGCGCCGAGAGGGTTCCGGGCGGAAACGGGGCCCGCTCTCCCGGCCCGAGGTTCCGCGGGGGGCGGAGGGAGGGGGCAGCGCAGCGCCGGGACCGCGGGGAAATGGCGGGAAATGGCGCGGCCTGCGGAGGGGAGAGGAGGGGGCCCGGGACCCCCTTTGCCCAGGGGGATGGAGGGCTCCCAGGCGGTGGGGAACGGGGGAAGGGGGGAAAAAAAAAAAAAAAATAAAAATCAAGTGACTCTGTGGTAGGTAAAAAGGATTAAAGTCTTTATTTGCACGTTTCACTTCTTAAAGGGTAGGAGCTAACAGTTTAAAAACCGGAACTTGGAAACAAACCAGTAAAACCCGAAAATAGCCGAGTTACCAACTTCACACTCTCCCTGGTAACAGCGTGTCCTTTGCACGCAGCCAGACATAGCCCTCACCGAGTCCCAAAGGGACATCAAGTGGGGGCATGGCGAGACCTAATACATATAAAATATATGGGCAACCCCCAAAAAAACCAAACTTGACAAGCCCTTTCTAATTTCCCTTGTCTTTGCTGAAAGGCCACAGCTTGCAGGCAGTCACTCCTGTGCAGGATACTGGCAGGTGAACAGGCACAGAGCCTCCTCCCAGGGCAACAGCCATTCCACACACACACTGTAAGCAAGGAGCCCTTCGGATCAGCATAAAGCAAGTCTGCTATCAGGGACCAGTTAAGGAAGAGAAATGCTCCTTCAACTTCCACAAGTAAGGCCCCCATAACATAAAAGTGTTTCCTTTTACTTTGTCCCTCTCAGTGAAACGCCACTCCAGTTGCATCCCAAGTCCACCAGGACTGCTGTGGAACCAGCCTGTCTCCTGATGTGTCCTTAAAACAGTCTACCATAGTCTCCACCTCCTCACTTCCAGGAGGACCCAGCCATAGATGCCATCTCCGTGTACAGCCACTGCCTCCCCTTTAAAAGATGCGCAGGTGGCCAGAGTGTTAAGACCACAAAGACACCAACAGAGCCCAACTAAACAAAGAGGGAAGCGAGTAGAGGAAACGCCATCCTTTCCCTTGTATGGCAGACAGAGCGAGTCTAGAGCAAGACCAGTTACACAAGAAATTAAAGGGGTAAAGACTGAGGACGATTATCCTGAATCCCATGGTCTGACACACGTAAGCTAGTCGTTCTTCCCTCAGCCAACATCTCATCATAACCAAAGAGGGAACAAAAAAACCAAGACAGCGAGAGCTAAAATGGGGCATTGGTCTGTGCAAACCCTCTGCTTTCACAGGTCCAAAAAGCTCTGGCTGCTGAATGGCCAACACTGAAGTTCAGTAACCCAAAGTGAAGCTAAATGAGCGACAACTCTTCCCTCCCACCAGGCGCTTCTGCTTAGAAGAGGTTTCGGACTCTTGCAACTTGGCACTTCCTAAGGGCTGGTCCTTCATGAGGGTCTGGGCAAGACGGGCTGCTTTGAGTTCCCTGCAGGGGGGAGACGGAAGGAAGAGGAGAGGAAGAAAATCACGTCATGCATGAACCCCCATCAGCTACAGAAGAAAGCTCTGAACTATCTTGCACAAGGTGATTACTGCAGTACTCCAGCAGCGCTGGAAAGCTGTGACTTTTGACCCCCAAGGGTGACATGAACATTACTGTAGGCCTTGCTAGAGTTTCTACTTCAGAATACATCAGTTTTGAAGGTTTACCAGATGAAAACTATGCATCAGGTCAGCAACACACACCTAGACTGATAACAGTATGAAGATTCCCTAGGCTCAGTTTTCTCCCATTGTTTCAGATGTTTGTGAGTGGTGGAACTTAGATCAGTGCCATCTTGTGCAGCACAAACACCTAATGAAGGCATGTGCTTCTTTGCCTTGTCTCCCTGATGCTCACTGCTCTCCTAGAGCATATGCTCTCCTGTCTACATGAACTATTGCACTAAGAGGGGCAGCTCCTAGATCCCAGCACCTCAAAACATTGCTACCAACAGCAGTGAGAGGGAGCAAGGGGAAAGAGGATGTCTGCCACCACCTGGTACTTCTCTTCCTTCTGTGCTAGACCATCTCAGTGCAGTATCAATTCCTCATCTGCTCCCTGGCTGCATACTGTATCAGTATTTTCCATCACCAGTGGTTGCAATAAGTGTACAAGTTCACTGCTCTGATTTAGCCAGCTCCTCAAAGCCAGAAACGAACCACAGCTGCTCAGGCACTACAGGTCCCACTACAGCCCCATCACCCTCCCAGTTGCAGGCACAAGAACTGACTGGGGTCTCCCAAAACTGCCACCCTACACCCAAACCTGGTGACGAGCACTTGCTGTGCTCATGTCTTCTCCCCTTCATGCCCAAGCCAGCCCTACCTTTCCAGCATGGCAGTCTTGCACTTCTCCACATTGAGCTGCTTCTGGAGCTGCACAGCTTTTCCACATGAAGGACGGAGAACCGGATGTTTAGTGAGAGCTGTGGCAGAAGGTCTTTCCACCGGGTCAGGATGGATCATGAGCTAGACGGCAAAGGAGTTCAGGGTTTAACGCTCCCTCTTGTCACACGCCAGCTGGAAAAGCCTCCATCCTATTAAGACTACTTCCTCACCTTGAGGAGTTCAAGAAAGCCATCAGGAAGCTTCTGGGGGATGGGTGGGATATTGCCTTTGCGGATGTGGTGCCACATGGCCCCGTTGTGAGGCAGCGGTGCCGACCCGGCTGCTAGAGCTACTGTGAGTGCCAGGGCAAAGATGTCTGCCTTCGGCAAATAGCAGTATTGCTACAGAGAGAGGAGAAACAGTTACAGAAAGGGAAACATCTCGCTGTCCTGAACAAAGGAAGGCAGGTTGGGACAGCAGCTCAAAAAGAAACAGCCAAACAAGTATATGTACAACATTGCCTTCACCATCCCAGTTACCTGCCTTCTCTTTAGGATAAAAACATGGACAGCAGGTAGTGCTGGTAATAGCACACTGGCTTTCATCCCATCATGAAGAGCTGGAGGCCCACATGAGGATCACTGCAGCAGATCCAGAGGGCAGTCTAACAAATGGGTGCCTCCAGCCCCCACCAGAAGGCAATAAGCTAGCCATGGCCAACAAACTAAAGACTGCATGTGGTCCATTGACTTAACAGCTCCTGAATCCACTTGCAGCACAAAAAGATCCTACTGTCACTTAAATACCCCAGCTGATGAACACACCTAAGCTGGTTGTTAAATACTGATTCCCTTTTTCATTCACCAGCCAGAGTGGCAAACCAGTTTAAGAGGTGTGTTGTGCTTCCCACCTCTTCACACTACCCGAGTGCTCTTTGTTGTACAGGGCATTTGTTTGGGTCCATATATTCCTCAGTGATCACATATCACATTTTGTAACACAAACCGTCTCCAAACCAGTGAAGGTTTTGTCCAATTCATCCTTCACAGGTAGCATAGTTGTAATAGTCTAAAGTTATTTATGAAATACTTTAAAAATTTACATGACAAGACTCATGCCTATATTATTCTTAATAAAGTGTTAATTTTGCTGATTTCACAGCCAGACCAGACAGAAGGAAGAGGAGATAGGGCAAGGAATATGCCAGACCGATGATTTCACTGCAGTTGGTCTCTCCCCACTTGCTCACCACCTTGTTCTCCCCACCACCCCACCAGCAGCTGTACCTCTTGCAAAACCTCATTGGCCAAAAACCGCCTGTCTCCTTCCTCCACCTGGGGGTTTGTTATTGATGTCACATGGCCAAGGTCACCTGAGGCAAAGAACAAACAATTAATGGAGCAAAGTGATATAGATCTCCTCCGTCAATAAAAGCCTGCATTTTATAGGCTCCAACAGAGCCATCAGACAACACTAAGTAAGAGAGCAAGCCTGCTTCTACTCAGGAATCTGGGCTCAGAAACAAGAACATGAGTTTTCTAGGACTTGTCTCCTTAGAGGAATTAATTCTAGTAAGTAGCAGAGGCATTCAGGACTAGGCAATCAGTTTTGTACACAAATCTCTCCAGCCAGCAGGAGAGAGCCACATCAAGCAGGAATGAGCAGCCCTGATCTCAAGCCAGTTGTAAAGTGGGTTAAAACCTACCGATCTTATACACCACACCAGAAGAGAATTCGTCTTCGCTGTCACTCTCCTCCTGCCCAGCAGGGCTCGCAGCTGCCAGCTTGTGACAGATGAAGATATTACCTGCAAGACAGCGAAGTTTAGCCGTAGCGTGGTACCAGCAGCCAGACCCCAGCAGCCTGACAGCTCTGTCAAGTCGGTTCAGCTTCGCAGCCAGAGGAGCTGTACCCATGCTTCCCACCCAGCTCACGTATTCAGTAACACAGCTGCCAGAAGACAGTTGTATCTTGTGCATAAAATATCCCGGTATGATCAACTTTTTGCCCTTCCAAGCTAGAAGCCTGATTTCAGCAGGAAAAAAATAAAAATATGGAGCTCCACTATAAGGATGTAACTCTGTGCCTGTGTGGGGGGAAGCATTGCCCTGGAGGTGCCCGTCCTCAGCTGCTGGGAGGAAAGCTTGTTACTTTCAGCCTGGAGAAGAGGAGGCTCCGGGGAGACCTTATAGCAGCCTTTCAATATCTGAAGGGTGCCTATAGAAGAGCTGGGGAGGGACTCTTTGCCAGGAAGGGTAATGATAGGACAAGGGGAAACGGTTTTAAATTGGAAGAAAAAAGATTCAGATTAGATATCAGGAAGAAATTCTTTACTATGAGGGTGGTGAGACACTGGGACAGGTTGCCCAGGGAAGCTGTGGCTGCCCCATCCCTGGAGGTGTTCAAGGCCAGGCTGGATGTGGCCTTGAGCAACCTGCTCTAGTGGGAGGTGTCCCTGCCCATGGCAGGGGGGTTGGAACTAGATGATCTTTGAGGTCCCTTCCAACCCAAACCATTCTATGATTCTATGATTCTACTATTTTTTGCAGGAACTTAATCCCTCAGGGCAGGTACAATAAATATTCACTTCTCATTCCAGCTCTCACAAAGAAAGGTCAAGCGTTAGCAGCAAATAAGGAAGTCCCCATCTTCGTTTGCAGCCGTACTTGCTCCACCACTATGAAAGTGATTCCCATGAGCTAGGATTATGAAGATCATGAGACAGAAGTAAAATGCTGCCAACTATCAGAGAAGGCTCAGTTTTAGAGCAGCAGTAGTGGCAAGATTAAAAAAAAACACCAAAACCAACCACAAGATATTCAGCTTTTAGGCCAAGGTCCTCTCTCCTTTGAAGCACTGTAGTAGGTCCAGTCAGGAGGACCCATTACACATCCTACCCCTGGAGGGTCACTTGGAGGAGCCTCCACAAAGCACATACTAGCACTATACTCACTAGGTTTGATATCCAGGTGCACAAGGCCAGAGTTGTGGATGTATTTTAGCCCCATGGAGACTTGTAACAATATTTCTTTCAGCTCTGCTTCTGGGAAATACTGGCCAAGCTTTGCATTTTCCAGCACCGCGTCTTGGAGACTCCCACCTAGATGAAAACAGTCAGTCTGAGACCTGACAAAGATTTTATGGAGCAGCACGTTTGAAATGGCTTCATAGGAACTATTGCCCAGAGCACTTGCAGGCTTGCTAGTGACAAACCCCGGCCAGACCAGCTATATGTGCTCCAGTGATCAAACTTAGACATCCACATTTAGTTTCAGCCTTTCCATTGCCTCAGAGCACACTTGCCTTCTGCTTGCCAAGGACTAAGCAACCACACTTCTACCTGCAGCACCAAGAAGGGCTGACCTGGTGGTGATGCTGACACTGCTGCAAGTGAACAGTGGACAACAATTACTTTTACCAGGCTTGCAAGCAGAAAACAGGCATATGAATGGTGGAGCAAGGAAATTAAGCTCCCACTAGCAGATTTTTGATTGAAGAACGTAACATTTGACACAGAAGCCAAGTTTTAAGTCACCATTAAGACACTCCAGCTATTTCAGGCCTAGCGAATACCATGGCCTCTCCCCATCAGCCTGCTTTTCACCATCTCTGCGTTAGTCTTGGATGTTCATCCACTAGAACTTGAGAAATGCATCAGTGCTGCAGCAATGGTCACCACATTTCATGGCTACCTCTACCAGCTTTGCAGTCATTACTGCAAACAGCTATCACCACTCGTCGCTGAGCCCCAAAACTGCAGGAGCAGATGAAAGAAGAGAGCTATGTATTTGCCTTCAGCTCCTCTGGTAGCAAAAGGTGTCTTTTCCAATGTGTCCCAAACAGCAGCGTGGCAAAGGGCAAACCCAAGTAAGAGTGTACCACCCTGCCTACAGCACCCCATTTACAGTTTCCCTCATTATTAATTGCGTTCCTCTACAGCTGCTGAGCCCTTTCTTCTAGCCAAGATGCAAAGTGCCTTCATCTGAACCAGGTTGTCACTCTTCAAATCATTACTCCTCTTCATTAAGGAGTTGTTTCCAAGATATATGGCACTAGAGTTAGCTGCTCTTGAGTCATTTGTATCAGGTTTTACCTGGGCTGTTCCAGACAGCTCTAAGCATCAGCATGGGGACTACTTTTCCAGACCAGCCAACACAGAGGAACAGCTAAAACCCCACAAATGAGAAGGTATTCACTACTTGTAAGACACTGGCACAATTCAGAGCTTTGTCATAATATCATAAGCCCTTACTGGATTCTCCATGGAACTCTAGCCCTACTGCAGTTTGCTTTGTTGTAAGCCAAAACATCCCGTATTTAAACACAAAAGAAGGTAACTGCACCCATCCTGAGATCTCAACCTTTAAGAATGTCACAGCTCTTACCGTTGCAGTGTTCACTTTGGATAATCATGTGATCGTCCTCTGCCCAGGCCGAGTAGTAGCGCACAACATGGGGGCTATGTCCAAGGACAGCATGAGCATAAACTTCACGAAGTGCCAGGTGCCTAGAGAAGCACGCACAGCAAAAGCAGTGGTGACAGGGTGCCCAGGTCCTGCTTGGGACCATGAGAGGAGCCCTGGTTTGCAGCCTAGCTTGAGAATGGGAAAGCAGAGCCTTTAGGACTTTCTCTTGGGTTTTGGCAGACGGACTGGCAGACAGCTGCTGAAGCAAAACCTGTCCTCACCCACATGTGCTGAGCAGCTGTCAAAAAAACCACTCACTGAGCAAGTCTTTTGTTAAAAAGGCAAAGGCAGCCTCAAAGTCCTCGCTTTAGCACACAGGAAAACACTAGCTGGTCACCACAGATGTGAGCAGTGCTGGCCACACAGCAGGGCAGGGACATACCCCAGATAGACCATCTGACGTTATTTTAAAGGGACTGGCTGCATGGACCCCAGGAGTTCAGGTAAGCTGTCATCTCACTATGCGATGCACGGGGCTTCTTCCCTTTCTCAGGCATTTATATCCAATAGTCCTAAAGTGGTAACTTACCCCACTCTCCCAGCTGGTACTTGGAAGCGCAACAGCAGCTAGTTTTTGCTTGTGCCACCTCTCAGATACCTTTAGATCCACACTCCCTCCTTCCCCATCACACCTCCCAAGAACATGCCCATCATTTCAACTGCCAGTTTCCAGCTAGCACACTCACTCATCTGAGGATCCTGCCAGAGGCCTTTTGGAGCGTTTGATGGCATAAACACATCCATCGAGGCGTTTGATGCACTTGTAGACAGAGCCAAATTCCCCCACACCAATTTTTTCCAGTTCCAGGAACTCCTTCTGGTAGCGGGAAACCATATTGCTCTCTTTCAGAGGATATCTCTACATGGTCACAAAAACAGCAGAGACAAGTATGAGTTGAAAGACTTAGATAACATCTGTCATGTTTTTAGAGCTGTGCAGCACTTGCTCTCACAGAGCACCCACGTTGCTCCCTCTCCCACTCTGGATGTTGACCCAGGCACACGTGCAGGTGCTCTGTGTTCTTGAAACACTACCATTCACTTAGGCATGTTGTGGGTTTTTTTTCTGACCACCCAACAAAGGCCATCTTGGCCTGGTCTGGCCAAGTTGTTTTTTTTCTGTGGTTTGGGTTTTTATTTTTTAAATCATGGCCTGCTAGCCATAGAGGTAGAAGTTACAGCTAAGGAGCACTGTAGTCTAATTGGCTGTACATGCCTGTGCCTCTTTGGGTTGCTACCATTACATCTCTTCTCTTGGCAGCCCTGTCCAGTTCCTAGACCCATGGCTGATGGAGCCAGGGATGAACAGCAGGCAATAATGAAATACTTGTCTTTTCCCCAGCTGCTGCAGACTCAAGATGACCTGTTACCATCCTTGGCAGGTGGAAGTCCAGTGCCTCTAAATTAGCCAGACTTGTGTACTGACCTTGTGTTTAAATATGAGCTATTGCCTATTTTCAGCTCAGAAGAGATGCTCGATGCATTGCCTTAATGAGGCCCTGGCTATGTAAAAGCTGCTTTACTTTGGCAGCTAAGATTGCCTGCAGCAAGGACATTCTGCATCAGTTCAGGCTCTCATCAGGTTTGAGGCACCAGCTGTTGACTAATGGCAGATTAGCTGGTCTCAGTGTATCTGTTTGTATTGCCAGTGATTTCTCACCAGGAGCCACTCTTCCACAAAAGACTAAAAGCCTGCAGAACAGCTGGAACATCATTATTGCTACAGTAATGGTCACTAGGGAAATAGGAGCTGCTGGTACTGCTTGTAGAGTGATGTCTACTGGCAGGGGAGAGAAGTAAAGAAGAGATAAGCAGTGGAGCATGAAGTGAACAACAAGAGAGTGGACTAAGTGATTTTTTTTTCATCCCTCCTACATCCCTCACAGGGACTGTGGCTCATGTTGCAGGGTGGTTTCCACAAAAACAACTGCTGTGGTTGCTGTAGTATATGGTATAGGACCTTTAAGGGTGGAGGTAAATAGCTGGTCCTCACAAACAGTAAGATGTGGCCCATATGAAATGGAAGTCCTTCAGAACAGGTCATATTTCATGAGGCAGCTATATTTTACAATATCTTAAACTCAGAGAATAAAGATAACCTCTTAGTACACAATTTTATATCTATATTATATACTCAATCTAATCAGCACTCAAGAAGAATAATATGTCAGCAAGTCACAAGTTATTTGAGTCTTTCTTGTGAGGAAAACAGTAATTGTGGTAACCCCAGGTGTTACCCGGCAGCAGATTTACTCTGCAGCTGTGGTTTTTTCGATGGAAACCAGTTTTTCTGCAATACCGGTCTCCTCGACTAGAGGGTGCCATTATTCTTCCAGTAAGCCCAATTATTTCACAATTACAATGCACAATTCCACCTACTTGCACAAGACAAGATACTTAATTTTCCTGAACAAGTGAGATTTTTTACCTCATCTGAGCACACATATTTAATCCAGGCTTGTCTTATTTTCCAGAATCCAGCTGGGTGAGCAGCTTCTCCCCAGATAAAACTGGGGAAAAAGGAAGAAAGTGGTGGGACACAGGCTACCACACCAGTTCTGCCAGGGCAGCAAGACAGTGCTTGCTGTCCTGTACCTACATAAGCTTGGGGGAGGACGTCCCTTGGACCCCAAGGCACACAAACCCCCCGGATGGACATTATCCTACTGAAGCAGAGTACAGGATTTGCTGCCTTGCCTCAGAAGTTTGCCATTGTGCCTACTGCAACTGAAACTCTGCCTCAGTACTCATCCACATCAGAGCTGTTCAGCTCAGTCTATGTATTTTTGTAATGTGGGTCCATATATTATCTGCAATATAGAAGCCATGTTCCACTCACACCCAGAGGTGCCCAGTTCACCCATTCACAGGAACAGTAATACATCCGCTTTTTTGAACAAAGGTAGTCACTGTTAACCCTAACTCAATAATATAGTAATACAGTTCCCCCAAGGAACCCAAATTATATTTCCTAGCAAGACCTCCTGACCAAAAAAAAAAAAAAAAAAAAAAAAAAGAGTTTTAGGATTACTTGTCAGAGTTTCAGATCTACTTTAGTACAAGTTTCCCTTAGAGATAAGAATCATTTCAGAGTTTGTTGACTCAATGTTAACATAAAACATTCAGCCTGGAATTATTCTGGCATAGGTATTCATCCTCTGTCATGATGCCATGATTTATACTCCAATAGCAGAATAAAATTTATTAAGCAATCTTTGCAAGCACCTTATCACCTCTGTGGGGGGGGAAATACACAGACACTCACCTTTGTAGGGAGCTCCTTCTTTATTTGGCTTCTTCGGTCAGGATCCGTCCTGTAACAAAAGTTCAAGAAAGTCTGGATGTATCATTTCAGTGCAGCAATCCAACTGAGATTTGAAATCAAAACATTTCTCAAAAGAATCTTTAAACCTTGCTTTACAGTTTAATTATAGATGTATTTTGTACAGCATTAATACACAGCAAATTTCTCGTTGAGGCCTCAGACTGTAGTCCCAGGCTAGGAAGTCTGTTTCCATTTAGAAAGCCTCCACATACCAACTCTGGTACTGCCAACAGTAGTACCAGAGATGAGTACCATCATTCTGGGGCACCATTCTCCTGGCCACCATTACTACTGGTGAAGGAGACGTCCTTACACAACAAGCTCCTAGTGAAGGAGAGAACTGCCCCCTTTCAAGGGGGTTTCAAGGGGGCATAAGGTGCTTTCAAGGGGGATACCCAGCTAAGCATCTGTTATAGTTGGAGCTATGAAAGAACCCAAACATCATCGTCGTGCACAGGTATTTCACTAAGTTTGTGTCTTGGTTAACCTAGATCAGATCTGGAATATTTGCAGATCAGCAGTAGCCCACACCCATCCTAAAAGCTGTATTACATGCAAACATACACGTCATTTCTTCCGAGTGGTGGATATGTGCATAACTGAATCAAGCTCCACTCTACCCATGGTTGAGAAAGAGAGAGGCACAATTTTCTCTTAGTCATAGCATTGAGGTTACCTGTCAGTCCCCCACTTGCATTTCTGAACAAAGGAAATGATTGCATTTTATTTCATATTTTTATTACCTTTATATGTCTGCTAATGTTTGCTCTGCACCAGTAAATACTACAGAAGTGGATGATTCATTGTTAGCAAATAAGTCCAGGTACTAAACGTCTCCATTATTACTTATCTCCTTTAAACAGTCTCCTTCCAGCCTCTTCAATAAGAGTAGTTTACTTACAGCTCTCCTCTGGTCTTCCGCTTGCTTCCGCTCTTTGGAAGAAAGAGCATTTGTCGATATGACTCTGGTGTAAAGGGATTAATGTTGACATGAGAAGCTTGGGTAGAGACATCTGAGTCAGCACCAGGAGTGAATCTCAGGTGTTGGAAGCCTTTGGGTGGGACCTTTGTCCCAGATGAAGGAAAAGCTGTCTTTGATAACAGGCTCTGTATTGAGGGGAAAAAAAACCACATCACCACCACCACGGCAGATAAGCCAGCAAAATGTTTTTATTGCTATGTCAGTATAAAATATCTGCTCTCCTGCAAATCAAGAATTCATCTCCCTTCCTCAGGACTGCTGAATCATTAAAAATGTGCATCCTTAATTTAGCCTTGGCAGTTCTCCTTCCACAAAGTATTACAGTCTTTGCTAAGCCCTTTCAGACTATTCCCTGCTCACTTGGATGAGGCCTGCAGAGCCATTTTGGCAAGCACAGTCCTCAGGAGGAGCCAGCTGCTCATCTCTCCCACCTACAGAGACACAGGAATTGCATCATATGTTGCATCAACATGGAAGATCCAGTTCTGCCAAGCACGGACTGTTGCATCAGTTTGGTCAGGACAGGTTTGTCAGGAGATAAAAATAGAACATCACCCAGATTTCCTTTCGGTTCCCCAGCAATAAACAGCATTAGTAGAGGGGAAATTGGTAGAAATATTTTTGTATGGCTACTGGCAAAGTGACAAGAAAACAGCTCTCCTTGAGAACTAAAAACAGTTTCAGAAACTTAAGTGCAGAAGGAACCTCTGGATCTTCTATAGTTCAGGTTACCAAAGATGACAGAACATTAGGTTTCACCTATTAGTCCAAAATCGTGGTCTTAGTAAAGCATAACTTCAGAGAAGCACCCAGTCTTGATCTGAGGACAGAAAAATCTACTTACTTTCCATGATTTGACCCGTTCAGTAACCATCAGCTTTTTGAAATATAAGTTTGGTTTTGACTTGTTTCAGCTTCAAGAGATTGGTGTGAGGTCTGAAGGGTTTTTTTAACACATCTCTTCTGTTCAAAAGCCCTTGAAGAACCCAGAACTCTCCCTATCATTAAGATCAAGATACTTTTATATCTTTTTGATCCAACACTGGTCTCACTCTTATAAGTGGAGACATGGCTCCAGGATCATACCTAGAGGTCCTCCCTTCTCTCATTGAAAGCTGCATGCAGTATCCTACGTCTACCTAACGGATGCTACACTCATGGATATAGCTACCTCTGAGACACCCCTCTATTTCTAGACCCTACTTGGAAGTTCAGCTACTGGTTTACTATGACCCTGAAAGTGCTTCTTGATCACTTTCTCAAGCTCTGGTCTGCATCTCCTTGCTCTCAGATGGAAAAGTTCTGCATATGAATATAGTAAAAGGAGCCCATGTCCCAGCCCAATTTATCCAGCAGCCTAGAAGGTCTGTAGACTTGTGGCTATGTTCTAGTCTTAGCCACAAGTCAAGAAAGGGATCTAAAATACCATTGCAGCCTGCTGATGTATGCATGCAGTTCCCATCTGCTCTTCTAGGGCTCTATTTCATAATCAAGCAGACTTGTCTCCTGTAACATCATCTGAGAGTAGCTGCTGCCATACAGTGTAAGGCAGCTACCATAACTAGCTCCAGCAATCTGTTCCAGGATTGGATAAGTCTACAAAATACAGTCATCTGTCTCCTCTGCCATTCATCCTAGCTGGGGCTTCAGCGCTCATCTGTCTGCAGTTAGATGTGGCTCTACTTCTCATCTTCACATGTTCCAAGACCAATGCTCCCAGCCGCATTCATGAGTTCTAAGGGGCCTAAATCAACTTATCTTCTGCAACATCCTTGGAAAGCAACATCCTTGGAAACCAAGACCTTTCTCCCACAAACAGCAAAGGAAAAGAAATTGTTGATTTAGTGCAATTGCTGCTTATGGACTACAAGGTGACAACTCACAGGTAGCATGTCTTGAAGCACCCAACCAACGTGTTACCTACACAAGAGCACACTGAAGAACCCTGCACTACCAGCAGTTCCACCTGGTGTGGAGAGATTCTAGGCCTCTCACCTACTTTCAGATGAGATTCAGAGAAACTTTTTATAAAGGGTCCCTGCAGGAAATTCTTGGACTGATGCCATTTAGAACCACTCTCCCCTAGAGAGCAGCAGGCCATTCCTCAGTAACTGTGGCCACAGGATTATCCTTTTCTCTCCACATATTCAGGTTTCTGGAGGGGGAACAGAAGTCAAATCCTAGCTCAGAAGCACTAAAAGGACTGATCTTCTATGTACCACTTAAGCAAAGGAGCAACCAGTCTATCAGTAGAGCAGGAATATTAATAGAGGCCTGAAAGAGCTACATTTCATTATGAGTCTTGAATGCTAGAAGCCTGTGCACACAACAGAAGCCATCTAGGAACAGAGAAGCTGGCGCCAAGTATCCACTTGTGCTTACAGAAGACAAAAAGCAGTTGTATTATATTCTGTACAAGAAGTTTCACAGAAAATAGGGGCTGGGATCATTCTCCCAAGAAACTAGCTCCGTAAGTTACATTTTAGGACAGTGACACAGAGGAAGATGAGCTAAGCTTCTTCCACAAGCACACGTTAATTTGTTACCCCTTTCACAGGGGATTTGCTCCCCTGAGAACAAAGTCCTGCTTTTCCCAAATTCACTGAACAGCTCAGTTTCACACCAAAAGAGAACCAACAAGCTGGTTGGAGGCGATCCAGACCCGCCAAACAAAGTATACTCCAGCCACAACACCATTTCCAACTTTCTCTTTTAAGAGGAAAACCCATTTGCGTTCAAAAATGTGCTGAACAGAGCAGTCGGGGCAGCTGCCTGTCTCCACGCTCCCCCTGGAATGATGAGCTCCTTGGAGAGATGCATGTATCCCTCAAGGAGAATAGTGCTCCCAGCGCTTCCTACAGCTCACTCCCCTCCACTGAGTGTGGCAAACACATGGGCAGCCAAGACACATGGTTGCTTGTTTTGGTTTTTGTAAGGTTTTTTTGATTTTTGTTTTGTTTTGTTTTTTTAAGTCAGGCTAGCCCAGCACCAACTAACTGGTTTTAACAACAGCTTGGAAAGAGTCAAGACACTTGCTCCCACACACAGATTTCTGTTCACGCTCACAGAATAACCCTTCCTTCGCGAAGGAGCTCACGGTCCAGGTTTCTAAGGGAAGAGTAGACGCTAACAACAGTAACGTTAGAGAAATGCTTCCCACCAAGCTAACAACAGGTCCCCTCACCGACCCTGGCAGCGATGCCACAGACCCTGCCCGCTCAGACAAAGAGATGATGCACACCATTACCTTGGGCGTGTGCGGGGTGTCACGCAGCTGCAGCTTTTTCCAGGTGATGCACAATGGTGTCTCGGCACTGCCCCGGCTCTTGCTCACCACTGGGGAAGAGTGCAGGGTGGGACTCACCCAGGCTTTTGTCCTACTTAGGAAAATCTCACTGAGCTTTCTCGGAGGGGTTGCTGGCAGAGGACTACTCTCTTGCCACTTCTGGAACTCGCTGCTCCTGGGGGGACTTGAGCTCAGGGCATCCTCCTCGTTTATGCTTCTGTCTTCACTCTCTTCATCACAGCTGGAAAAATCCAGGCGCCGAATGAATTCGTTGCCGCTGTCCCAGTTATCCATTTCACTAGATGAAACAGAACAGGTAGAGCTGACACTGGCCTGTTTGTTAGCAGGAGAAGAAGACAGCATTATTTGCACAGGCAGACTAACCACCCTCTTCTTTACTTTATCAGGGATTAGTTCTACTACTATTAGTTCTACTCACTGCATGCACTCCCCCACCCCAATCTTACATACACAGGAGCCTTTATCACTCATAGATAGCATTCGATGGCATTGCTTGAGTACCCCAGAATTAGCAAATACAAATCCATTCAGTTACTGTTCACATAACAACAGATTCTGCTTTTCACCTTGCAATACAACTCAGAAGTCACTGCCTTTCTCAGTAAGCCTCCAACTTCTCCACCCACCAGTACTTCATCCAGTACTCTCATCACACATAGAGTTATAAAACCCCAAAGAACAACACACGTGAGCCCTCCCCTCATCCTTTTCTACCTTAAATTTCTCAATAAGAGCAAAAGAACTCATGCTACACACAGCTCCAAGCAGATACCAGATACCCTACAGACAACCCTTTGCCTGCCCTGGCATATTTATAACAACCCCACACACCTGGGCCATCGCTAATCTGGAGCTTGGCAGCAGCTGTGCAGAGTTGCCTGTTGCCTAGGGAAGTTGGTGACTGAGGGGTTTTGCTGTGGATGTGGATTTGCTGTGCCGGCAGCCAGCTCCGCAGGGAGCAAGGGTTCCTTCTGAGTCATCTCCGTGCTTCCACGCACTCTTTCCTCCTCCAGCTTCACCTCCGGGGCCTCTGGGGAGGTGATGTTTGATGACAGCCAGTCTGCTCCATGTTAATCCCATCAGAGGTGCAGCCTTTGTGGGCTTTACTTGTATAAGCGATTAGTCTTGTGATGATGGAGGCCCCCTCTGCTTCCATCTTTTAAGTCTGAATTTCACTTTCTGCATGTAGACATGGATTAGTTCGGACAAGCGTTGCAGCCTGCGTGGGGAGTAGCCCAATTTATAACGTGCTAGACTTCAGGAGAGAGCTAGGGTCCTTGTATGGGTTCCCATCCTGAGGTTTCAAGGGAGAGGAGGGAGAAGCTGGCTGTGTCAGTGAAGGCAGCCCCCCAGGTAGGGTCAGTGTCTCCTCTTGCTGCGCCTCTGTAAAAAATGGGGATCCTTCCATGCCCCTGTGAGCCTGCATTTCAAAGAGGGACCAGAGCGAGCTCTAACTGCCTGGGAACAAGGTTAGGGCAGCCTTTTTTCTTAGCGTTGAGGAGAGCTACAAGAAGGGCATGCAGAAGTTGGAAGTGGCCGCAGCCCAGAGGAGATGGGGGTTTGTCAGAACCAACGTGTGCTGTCCCGTGCACAAGTCAAGGGGAATTCCCACCAGAAAATAAAGGAACGTCTCAATCTGAGGTCGCTCAACCCTCCTAACGTGGTTTTTGAATGAAAAATATGGCCATGCAGCTCTCTGAAGCTGCCTGTTAAGACTGTGACAAGCAACTCATTCGCTACAGGGCACCAAAGCTGTTTCAGGACGTGCCAGGAGCTCAGTATTGCTTTTACTGCTGCATCTGGCCCAGAGGTTGTGGTGTTTCCTCCAGGCACGGAGCCTGTTGCTGCCACACAGATTCCCTTCTGCACTGCAGCCGCTGCATCTCCCTGCACCTTATCTTGAGCGACGTCCAAAAGACTGGGATTGCCAGCGCTGGCTGCTTTTTGGGATGAAAAGCTGTCTCTGCAGCATCTGGCCAGCTGAGATCTTGTGACAGGACCACTTTAGCACAGCTGTGATCTGGCTGTATTAATCAGATGTTCATCACTTGGAGCCTTGGGTAGGAATAGTTTATTTTAAATCTGAAGGAATAATGCTTTTTGTCCCCATAACTACATTTTGATTAATAACCCAGCAATGAAACTCCTTCAGACCACAGTTTTCAACCCCATCTGAAACATACTTGTTCTTTTTTGTCAGGGTTTATAGGCAGTATCCATTTTTCTAAGGAGGAATGTGATATGTAAAGGAGAAAAGTTGAACTTGCTGTGTAAAGAAAGCCCAACTTGTTCATCTTGCACCTTCTAGCTAAAAGCCACCACATTTTCATTTCATTTTTTTTTCTGGAGGACTACTCAAAGATCTGACAACAATTTTCTTCGCCCTTGGAGGGAAAATATGTCCATTTTCGTTTGAAGGAGAGTTTTTTTTTCTCCTGAAAGGGCCACATTCTCTCCTGGCCTACATCTTTCCGATTTTGGTGAGATGATAAAGTGGAAAATGTGGCCTTTGGTTTTTGCACTTATTTAACAAACAGTGTGCCCTCAGCAGGCCCAGATTGCCGGCCAAAGCAGCGTAAATACCTCCGGTACCACTGGATCTCTTGTCCCCAGGAGGTCCTTTTTCACCAAAAGCCAAGAGCTCGGAGTGTGATGACATTCCACGTTATCACGGAGCCAGCGCTGGCAGCTCCTGCTCCCTGGCACTGGCCACTCTCCCCTCTGTGTCACCTCCCTCATGCTGGGGCGACCATGCAGCAGAGGGGACCCAGGGTGGCTCTGCACCACAAATAGCTGTGAGGGTGGTGGAGGAATTTTTATTTGGGATTTGTTTCCCCTGCCTGGAATGCTGGGGGACAGACTGACGTTTGTGCCAGCACCACTGCGGGGATGAAGGAGGGAAACAAGCTGTCACTTCAGCATCACCGACACGCAAAAAAAATATATTCATCAAAACGAAGCTTGGCACTGACTGCATGGTTAAAGCAAAGCATGTGGCCAAGTATGTGCAGAATCTGGGTTTTCTTTATACAGTAACAAAATATTGTGCAGGGTTTGTTTTTTTTCTTCACCGTCACCTTCCATGAAAAACTCCATCTGCTGAACACCACCTACTGTGGTTTAGAGCTCTGCAAAGTAAACTTGTGCATGGGCCTTGTGAAACAAAATGCCCACTCGGTGCTGGAGCTGCCTGAAATGAAGCTCACAGCAAATGGATGCAAACGTTACCAAAAAAACCCAGAAAGAACTCAAACCCCACTGTTGAGGAAACCGGATGATGAGTTTCTTAATGGTGTACTGAACACTCAGAGCTGCTCAGCAGGAAAAAAGTTAGACAACAAAGGCTTTTATGACTCTATCTTCCCTTTAATTGTGGCCTGCTTAATTGGGTAATGCAATTAATCAGAAAGTCCTAGGGAACCAAGTTAAACCTAATGACACTGAATGACATTGGTAGTAGCATAACAAGGATGGTAATTACACAGAAACTGGCTGCCTGTGGATGCCGTGGTCATGCTCGTGTCTCCATCTTTCATAGAATCATAGAATCACAGAACGATGTGGGGTTGGAAGGGACCTCTGGAGATCAGCTAGTCCAACCCCCCTTCCAGAGTGGGCCTAGCTAGAGCAGGTTGCACAGGAACTTGTCCAGGTGGGTTTTGAATGTTTCCAAAGAAGAAGACTCCACCACCTCTCTGGGCAGCCTGTTCCAGTGCTCTACCACCCTCAAAGTAAAGAAGTTCCTCCTCACGTTTGGGTGGAACTAATTATACTCAAGTTTGTGCCCATTTCCTCGTCCTGTCACTGGACACCACTGAAAAAAGACCCACCCCATCCTCCTGACACCCACCCTTTAAGTATTTATACGCATTGATCAGATCCCAACTAAGTCTTCTCCAGACTAAAAAGACCCAAGTCCCTCAGCCTCTGCTTGCAGGAAGAGATGCTCCAGGCCCTTAATCATCTTCGTGGCCCTTTTCTGTACCCTCTCCAACCTCAAGCTGGTTCCCCATGTCCCTCTGAAAACTTTCACGTCCTTCTATAGCACATACCACTGGTGAGGCCACACCTCAAGTATTGTGTCCAGTTTTGGGCACCTCAATACAAGAGAGATCTGGAGGGGCTGGAGCGAGTGCAGAGGAGGGCAACGAAGCTGGTGAGGGGGCTGGAAAACAAATCGTATGAGGAGCAGCTGAGGGAGTTGGGACTGTTTAGTATGAGGAAGAGGAGGCTGAGGGGAGACCTCATCACTCTCTACAACTACATGAAAGGACACTGTAGAGAGGTTGGTGCTGGTCTCTTCTCACAGGTAATTAGTGACAGAATGAGAGGGAACGGCTTCAAGCTCCAACAGGGTAGGTTTAGATTGAACATTAGGAAAGAATTTTTCACCGAAAGAGTGATAGGGCATTGGAACAGGCTGCCCAGGGAGGTGGTGGAGTCACCATCCCTGGCTGTGTTTAAGGGCCGTTTAGATGCAGTGCTAAGGGACATGGTGTAGGGGAGGACTTTGTAGAGTTGGGTAGATGGTTGGACTCGATGATCCCAAGGGTCTTTTCCAACCTAGACGATTCTATGATTCTATGATTCTATATATATATACACACATGCACACCACTATATACAGAACTCGTATATACACTGACTCTTTCAGATTTGTGGCTGGGGGGGGGGACACATTGCCCCGTTCCTGGCCCCGGGGCTGCTCTGCTCAACTCCCGGGGCTCACCGGGGAAGACGGGGCTCCACAGGGCCCCCCCCTTACCGTTACTGCTCAAACAGGCAACAGGTCTACCCGCTTGGCGCTCCGTTTTGCGGCGCCGGGGAGTGGCCGCCGGCGGGGGCGGCACCGGGGCGGGG